CCACCCTGAGCTTCAGAGCTAACTTGACACTAACCTTTTCACTGTAGCCTATCTCCATCGTGTCAAGTAACCTCTGACGAAAATAGTTTGACCTAGTTTATATAAGCCAATCAAATCCATGTTTCAAAATTTTTCACCAAAGTTTGGTGAAAACGCTGATTGGTTGACCGTCAATCGGCAATCCTCGGCTGATTCCGCAAGCTCCATACTAACAACATAGTTATTGTCGAGTGCGGAGACATCCGAGTAGTTCCGAGTGTATTACCGTACACAAAGAAAGCAAGGCGAGTGACTACGAAAAAGAATGTGTTAAGTTATCTCTTGATTCTTTGCAAAATATGAGTAAATCGAGATTGAAACCATAGGGTCTAGCAGTTTGAGGCCCTGCATCATTATCTACTGAGAGACGATGTTATTTGCGTGCTGCCCACAGGTTACGGCAAGTCCCTGATATTCAGCCTTATCTTTGATTGGTCCGGATTTGAACAAAGCGCGCTTTGACTCGTTCGCGTTCATTGGCTAGATCGTTTAATGAGTCATTGAGTGCGGGCTTTTAAATTTGATTGGCGGGCGGCGGAGGCAATCGAATCTGGTCAGAGGTTACTTGACACGATGGAGATAGGCTACAGTGAAAAGGTTAGTGTCAAGTTAGCTCTGAAGCTCAGGGTGATTAGCTTGAGCTTTTAAGCAGTTTAAAGTCCGTACTGACCTCAATGGAAAGTAGGCCAAAGGGACACTGGCTATCACAGTTTAGATATTTTAGATCTTTCTAGGTGCATCAATATACATACTTCTATTATTACCAAGACTTATACGGTGAATCAACATGAATCCTCTGTTGATATGTAACGCTTCTCTACATCATGATCAAGGTTACACATCGACAGGATGAGAGCAGTGCGTTATCCAGATATCTTGAATGGATATCTGTTAATTATAGCATTTAAATGTTTCAAACATTTCAACGGCAGATGACATAGCCTCTTTTGGTCTGCTGAGCATTGGGAACAAGACAGATAAGGTATTCTTGAGGGTTTCAGAATCTTTCACCTCAGTTGCAAAAACTGCCTCGTCTTTGTCTTCCAGTATTGAGTTGTTCTTAATAGCCAGAAGCTTGCCATTCGGAAAACGAACAGCTCTGAGCGAATTAAGAAATATTGAAGTTGTTGGGTTTGTGTACGGTCTGACCATCGAGCTTTCGAAATCCTTGAGAATGCAAGGAGCGGTGTTAAAACTATAGACATACCGCCAATTGTTGTCTAGGTCGTTTTCCCCTTTGTATGAATCTTTTGCTAAACCTTTGTGCATTCGATGAAACTCTCCGTCTTCCTTGCGGACGTATTTGAAGGTACAAAATGAAAACGTGTACACTGGCGACTCGTCTTGAAAATCTAAAGGGATCGATTTCAATGTCGGATATCCCATGCCAGCCTCTATAAGGAAGCTATCGCCTGGCGTCACAACATCATGTGCTACTAACAGCACATGATTTCCCGGATATTTCACTTGGCCCTTTGCCAATGTGACGTCATAGCCTAAAGCTCGTAAGACGAAATACAGGAAAGTATTATTTTGGTAGCAAAGACCGCCTCTGCCGGAAAGACCCCTCTCTTTCAATTCTGTCAAATTCGGTATTCTCCTTTCAGAAACTGGTAGAGCCAACAGATCCACGTTGTGAAATGGAACTTTGCAATGATATTCATAAATAATGTCGTTCAGGAAAGACAATTTGTCTGTATTAAATCTCATTTGGATGTCAAGGAGTCCTAGGACATTTTCAACAAATGTTGTAGCTTCTTCTTTAGATAACAGGTCCATTTCCCACTCACACTTTCACGAATAAGAAGTAGGGTGCGTTCCGCCTCTTTGACCTGAAAAATATATTTGCACATGTTTTGTCATTAATGGGCCTACAGCACGTACATGCACATGCACGTACAACTGTACAATTACCTGCATGCGAATTAACTTTGCAATCATCAAAATTCTGCATATTCTCCTGATTACTGTGTATCTTCGAAGGAGGGGGATAAGGGGTTATTGGTGCCCCAGAAGCCTAGTGAGGGACGTTGTGTCCTCCCCGGGGGCCGCAAAGAATATACATCCTCCCGCCTTAGCCGCCCGGTAGAGATTGATTGCAATGAGAGGGACCAAAGACATATAAACTGTAAATGTATATGATACACCTTTAATACATTAAATCTCGTAACATATGCTTAGACAATTACACTCCTAACGAAATAGCTATAGACATATTAAGGTCTATATGGTTCACTGTCGAAAATTTACGTGAAAAGTTACAAGAGTTTGTAAGTCCAAGACTAACAGCAGTTTCGAGAATATCGCACTTTAATCCAAGTTACAAATTCACGTAAATATTTACAAATTGTTGTAAGTTACAACCTTTAGAGAATACAACACCAGGTATGACTTAAACGGAACTGTTTTTGTAATGATTTTGACCTACCTGACCAGTCGCTGACCAGTAAGCTTCGTGTTATATATGCAGTTTCTATACTATATGGAAAGTAGGTTAAAGGACCACTGGTCATCAAGGTATACGGTTGTAACAACAACCATATATTAAAGTGACCTATAATTACAAGGGCGGGAACCGGAGAGCGAGGGGTGCGAAATAATCGTAGGGAGGAGCAACACGTACATACACACTGCTTTTTCAACCACGTAAGTCAAATGGGCAGGAAGGACAAGTAGGGCCTTCAGTGAAATCCCCCATGTATATACAGTATATCCTTCACCGGTACATGCCGCGAATTAGGCCTATAATTTAATGATTTTTATGATATATCTATTTCTACAATTGTTCAGCCCCTTTCCATCAAAATTTGCTTGCTACGCGTCTTTCTATATTTTGGGGCAAAAGCAGTTCACCTTGCTGCTCCATAGACACGAATCATACACAATCCCCAAAGAGACGTGAATTCATACGGGAGTACACAATTAATGGGCCACGCCCTTACCTAGCTAGCTTCGAAAATGAAGTATTTTAGTGTAGTTGACGTATTTTTGGTGTTACAACACGAGCTCTATCTATATTCTTTTCTGTGACCAAAGTTTAAGACAATAAATTCGGGGATATCGGGATCTCTGTCACAAAGGTGTTGAACTATATACAAAGAAGGAGCTATACGTGTACCAGTAGGCTACATGTACATGTATAGGCCTACCAGTAGGTAGGTTGAATACGCTAATGATAATTCTGGTATCTTCTCTTTTAGACACAGTGTACTTGAAATAATATGTGGACAGAATATAACTGCAGTAAATATATGTTAATTCTGTCTGCGTCCCAAATGTGCCCATGAAATCTTACACAAATCTGACAGGTGCTTATTAAGCTTATAGCCTATACATTGTACTTATGGGCCAGTTGGTAGGCCCTACATACTGTATAAGCCTTATCAATGCACACTTAATCGACTGCATCCATGGGGGCATAAATAGGCTCAGCACCTGTGCTATATATCATGGGGACATTATTTACCATCACAAATACACTTAACATTTCTTCAACAAAGTTATAGTTTCTTCAGATGCAGAAAACGGTTCCTTTGGACTCATCGCTCTAGTAGGCCTAAAACTTTTTTAACGACTGACGCTCTCTTGGTGTTGTAGGATTTGGTCAAGTTACAAGATTATGTGATCACCTTTTTACCTCGTACGTAAAGTACTTTTTCATAAATTGACAAGGGGTCAACTTAATCCTGGGGCCCCGGACTCTCCTACTTTTAGGCCTACAGCCTTATTTATTTTATTAGATATGGAGTGATTAAACCAATGATGAAACTTGAAGGTACAATACCATTATTTGGACTAATTTAATCAATAAAACGAGTCTGGAGATAAAGTCTAGAACCAGTCACTGTTGCAGTTCATCTTGCAAAATAGCGCCACCTTCAGTAGGTTTGATTTATAAGTATGGAGGGAACAGACACGAAAGTTTGTACGTTTACCTTTAAGAAAAGAGGTAAACGGCAAAATACAAGAAAACGACGGGCCAGTGATAGCAAGGGTATGTAGATCAATTTAAATGATATAGTTTTAACTTCAAGTCACCGATTTTAATGAAGAAAAAAACTGATATTCAAATTCATAATCAGTGAATTAATATACATTTGTAGGTATTATAATACTACAACAGTGTTGTTTGAAACGTTGCAGAATTCATAACGGAATTTGGTGTTATCCAGGCAAATCTCTCGATGTCGATGTAACCCCAGTGGTTGTTGTTGTTGTTGAAGAAAATAGGTTTATCAGAGAGACATACCACTTTTTCCCTGAAGTCACAGGAGCTAGTCCATTGTTAATTGCCAATGATGGTGAATTATTTCGGTAAAAGAAATATAAATTAAATAAATAGATGAATGACTATCAAACAGTCACAGGACTGATTATTTACTTTTCTTCCAGACTCTAGCAGTGAAGATGACAGCGAAGTAGTTCGCAGAAAGAAAGGGACCAGCGGTCTTATGGTACAAAAGGTATATGAACTGTGTAACATGCTTTCAGGTAGCTTATCCAGAATTTTTGATCCAAATAGAATCTGACCACAAATCATTGCTCAACACATACCTGCTCTTAAGTTTGATGTTTCATTTCACTTCTAATTTGGCAATTTTATTAGATATCATTATAATGTCTGGCCAAATGTTAAGACCAGCACATTTTCCTGTATCTCATAAGAAAATTCAACATTGGGAACTTTTATTTGATAGAGTTTTATCATTTTTAATGTCTGAATTTGGAATGATACACAATGTACAATTGTAAGTAGCTTTGTATTCATGGAAAATAAGACATCAGATATGAATTATGGACCTTAAAAAAGATTACCATGATAGCTCAGAGCTTCTGTTCTTTATGGTGAGGGCATTAAGTAATGATTTAAAACATTTTACTGTTATCAAATGTATGGTATACAATGTATGCCTGTGAGAGGCCAAATAGAATTGAAAGTAAAATGATAATAAAGGAAAAGCAAATTTGGGATGACTTTATAACAATCAGGATTAACAGCTTCTCCAATTTGAAGAATAATAAAGTTTATAGCAGGGAACAAGCGAACGCTAACTGCTCGTTATTAATCTATTTGACAGACCAACCGATTAAAAGCAAGAGATGATGTCAAGTACAGTAGCAGTGACAGCGATCAAGAGAAGAACAGCAATATTGGAGTGTCATATAAGTCCAACAAGTCTGGTGTGAGTAAGCTGGCAGTTGTGCTCTTTCAAGTTTCGTTTTATTTAATAAAAGCAAAAAATCTTTATTTTAAAGTAAGCTATGGAATCACTTGTTAACATGATTGCATAATTTTTATTTAACTTATTGGTAAAAGTACATACTGGATAATTCAGAATTTACTACAGAAATTCATTGGCTGTTGTACTGTATTGTTAGAACATGTACCATTATGACTAAATCTGTTTCATTGTTTGCATTTCGTATATTTTTGTTCATAAAAGACTTTTTTTGTGTGTGCTATTTCAGCAACGTGATGGTCCCCAGGATATGGGAGCCACAGCTACCGTAGAAATTGACACAGAAAAAGATAAGGATGCATTAGCCATTGCAGAGAGAGCAGTGCAGATTAATAAAGTAATAAAAGAGAAAGAGAAAGTTTGTGCATTTGTGATTGTGAGAGAATAGTTAAGAGAGAGAAGGATAGAGAGAGAGAGAGAGAGTTTGTAAGTGTGTGATTGTGAGAGAAAAATTAAAAAACAGATTATAAGAACAAATACTGGTAACTTTAGAATAGAATGAAACAAAATTACTTGCTGTCCAGCAAATGTGCAAAGCAACAAGGAAATGCACTGATATCTACTGTAATTCATACTGTACATTACACAAGAAGTTGAATTGCTGTTTAACACAGCAGTTTTCACTTTTTATGAACAAATAATCTTCATAAAATGACTCAACTTATACAAATAATTTATATTTCAGGAACAAAGAGGTCTTGAGGATGACAAAGTCTACAGAGGAGTGAACAACTACACCCAGTTCTATGAAGTGAAAGACACTGCATCAGGAAGTGCAGCAAACGCTGCCAATAGGTATGGTTTAATAAATGAATAAAGAAAATTAATGAGTAAAATTGAATAAGTAGATAAAGAATATATAAATTGTGAAATAAATAATTAAATGGAATCATAAATAAGAGATTATCAAAATAAATTAATATATGAAGAAATTTTATCAAAACATGAAGACAAATATGTATCAGAAGAAAATAGTTAAGCTGGAATATGGAGATAGTTAGGTAATTGCATAGCTATACTACTTAATTGACATCGTCACTTCTTACGTGAGCACCAAACAAATTTTTAACAATATGTGGATCTTTCTGTCTCGTAGTTAGATGTGCCCAGGTTGCAGTGCCATCTCAAAGAAACATTCTTGAACCCACATATTAATGCGATAAACAAAATAAATCTCTTACAACAGAGTGCTGTTTGTATATGTTGCACAAATTCTTTTGCTTCTTTATGTTTGTCAGATAAAAGAAAAACGAATTTCCAAAACTTGTATATCAAGGTCGGCTATAAAGAAACCTTGACCTTCTCTGCAAATATATATACATGTATATATGTCTACATCCAATATACAGGTATGGTCCCAAGAGAGCCCCTGCCTTTCTGAGGTCAACCGTCAGGTGGGACTACCAACCAGATATCTGCAAGGATTACAAGGAGACGGGGTTTTGTGGCTTTGGAGGTACTGCTATAGAAGAGACAACACTTTAAATTCAGTTGATTTATTGGGTTATACTCACTGTTACAAACTGATCTCAATTTTGGTGTTTACCAGATATAGATATATTATTACAGTATATTATATATATTAAGGTTTATTATTTTCTTTCTTTTCTAATGTGAAGTTAAATATCATTTGTAAGATCATTGAAAATAATGCCTTGAGAATTATTTTTTTCAAAAATGGCAGCCACCAATAATGAGTTGAATTTATTGTAAATTTGAATTGTCTCTATTCTAGCTGAGACATGTAAGTAAATTGATTATATTTACCTTTTAGACAGCTGCAAGTTTCTTCATGATCGCAGTGACTACAAGCACGGCTGGCAGTTGGAGAGAGAGATGGAGAAGGGAACATATGGGGAACAAGGTGAGAGAGAGTGAGAAGATGATGGAGAGAGAGATGGAGAAGGGAACTATGGGGAATAGGGCATTAGAGAGAGAAAGAGGGAGACATGATAATTTTTCTGTGATACAATGAACACATTTTAAACATTTCTTGGGGTTCACACAGATAGGAAACATACCTGTAGTTATAGCAGATGTTGACATTTGTGATGGAAGTGAAGTCCTTCAAGCCAATTCACCAATTCATCATTCAGCATATTTTGTCATTGCTTTAACATTGTTCTGAACTTAATTTTTTTCAGACCTGAGTAAATATGAGATCAGTAGTGATGAAGATGATCTCCCGTTTGCCTGTTTCATATGTAGAAAGACATTCACTAACCCTGTCATAACAAAGTGAGTGGTAAAAATTACTTTTGAATTTCATGATATTACTTTAAAATGTGTCCCATTATACTAAGAATTTTAAAGGAATAGTACAATAAATAAGTGGGACGATGCCCCTTTCCACAATTGTGCATCATTAGACACAACATAAGTGAAAGATGAGATGATACCTTTTTATGCAAAAAAAAAAAAAAAATTACAGTATGCAACATTATCAAAACAAGCTGCCCACCAGGTAACTATAGCTGTATCTTTTTGCATCAAAAGGTTTCAAGTCCTCTTTTAGTAATCGAGTGGTTTTGATATTTGTTTGACAAGTAACAAACAATGACTGATATTATTGTTATTGATACCCTTGTGGTAAATGTGGTGTAAAGTTTTAATATTAAGTGTGACACTCTATTGACTGAAGTTCAGAAAAAGAAAACTTGATTAAATGTAACACATATCTTTGTTACATAGAATCAATCATAGACTGATATAGAGGGTTATTTCTTAAATCTGCAAACATAATTTAAACCCACTAGCTCTATGAATTAATGTCTTTTGATTAAATTATTTATTTAGAATTTTTAATGCAAATAATTTGTGTTGTTTTCAGGTGCAAACATTACTTTTGTGAAAAGTGTGCATTAGCCCAGTACAGAAAGTCCAAGAGGTGTTTTGTATGTGGAACACAAACTATGGGAGTGTTTAACCCTGCTAAAGGTAAGATAGTGTTACCATATACCCTCTACCAGGGCGACTGATAGATTTTTTACGGATATTCACAGATATGTCTCTAGATAGATAGATGGTCATTTTGGTTCTAAGTCACTTGTATCTATTCTGTGAATATCTGTAAAAATCTATCAGTCGCCCTGGTAGAGGGTAGTTAACATAGATGGTGACATGGTAGTAAAACACCCCTGTGATTTATCATGTGGAGAGAAAGAATGTTTTATGAATGCTGCTAAAGAAAGTTACAAGAGCAAGCAGATACAGGTTTTCATTTACATTTTGTGGATGTGAAAATGAAATGTGATAAAATAAACTTTTCTTATCTATATTCAAAATTTCTGTTGGCTTTAGTTTCAGATATAAACAGTAATTGATTTGTCAGAAATGGTTTCAATAGTCTCACGTCCTGGTTTTTTGTTTTTGTTACAGAAATAATTGCTAAAATGGAGAAGAATAAAGAACGGGATGATAGTGACAGTGATACACAGGATAATGATAAGGGTAGTGATAGTAACATTCAGGGAGATTTAAACCAGGTTGAGGGAGAAAGTAGTAGGGAGGCCTCTGAGGAGGAAGACTAGTAATTGGAGAAAAAAATAATTGGATGTGGATATTTGTACTGTTAAAAATCCCATTCTGCAAAGAGTACTAGTATTTGAAAAAAAAATGGATGTGGATATTATTCTGTTAAAAAATCCCATTCTGTGAAATGTACATAGCAACATACATGAGTCAAATTTTTATTCTGCTTACCAGAGTTTAAAGTATGACAACTGTGACAATTTTTTTGTATTATTTTGTACATGATCATGTGTAAATAAAATCTTTATTCGTATGATCTGGTCACATAGTGCGCTCTTTATGGTCATATGGACAAGAAATAATGGCTATAAAAGAAATGCATCTGTAAATGCATGAAGAACACTAATTTTATCACTATCAAATTTGCACTTTTCAAATTTAGTTCAATAAATGGATAATCTAAGTATACATTAACAAAGCATCAAAAGGCATAGTGGGAAGGGAGAATTCTGGTTGCCCTAGTTTTTTCTGAAAAATGCTGTTGTTGAGACAAGCACAGCTACTGCAATAGAGACCACATTTTGCTAAAGAGTTCTTCGTTCCAATATTTCCATGTAAAATAATCACTCTTTTCAGAGATGGAATAAATATGAGGCTGATAATTAAAGCTCTTTAATTTTAATTCAAACTGACAAAAACATGGTTTGGATTTGAAAGTTGGTGCTCATCTTGACGATTTAGCAATTTTATCTCTGATAAGCAATCATGTAAACTCTCTTTCTGAACAATAATCACCAATAACAAAGAAATAAGTTCAAGAAACAAGGCAGTTGTTTTATTTGCACTAAGTGCTTACCAATACAACATTTCCCGCAAATAAATCCAAACACCACTCCCAAACTCCACCCTCGGGGAGAGAACAACTGTGAAGTGGGGAGATACTGTTACTACCACAAATCATCTTCCCAAGAGAAGTCCATTTTCACCCAATGATTGCCAATGTAGCTTTAAGAATGTTACATAATACAAGCTCCAATTTTTTTTATTAAAAATACCCCACCCACCCACCCAAAACAGTCCCCCCTTTTTTTTCCAAAATGGACTGTTTCATAAATAACAATATGTCAACTAAGTGGGATAACAGACGAATAGTTCTTCTTCATACTAGATATAGTTAACGAGAGATTTATTACATGTGAGAGTATGAAGCAAATGTGTAGTGAAATGTTCCTATGATGAATACAGTTTTCCATTGTTTTCAAAGGCAGTATTAGAAGCTACACAATATCCATAGTAATGATCTCTGATACCATGGTAACCATAACTATGGCGACATCTGGGTTATATATACTTATATACACATATTCAAGTCTAGTTCACAGATTCAATTCAATTATCATACAATTACACTGAATATATTTTACAGAATCTTTTCTCAGCATCAAACACCATCCAATAACTATAAGCTAATACATACAAAACCACATTCAATGTGAAGAACAGAAGAATCAAACTATGTACACATTTATTAGTTAATGGGGATTTCAAGTACTACGTGTGGGCCGATACTCTCAGCATACAAGTTTTTACACGGAACCACAATTGAAGCCTGACACATGAATTATGCAAGCCTCTATGGTGATGTTGCTGTACAATGGCTATAACACAATGCAGATGTACAGATTATTATACACTTGGTCTGCAGCACATAAAACCAATTATCATGGAGCACATACACTCACTATGCAAAGTCAATACGTATGTATATTTTTATACCATCATCTTATATCCACATAATGTACAAATTTCACAATTGTTTAACCAAACAGTTATTTACTTCCATATCCACATAATATACTGCAACTTCTGTACACAGTGCAGGGAAGGAGTGCATATTACTTTTTTTTATGTTTTTTTCCTTCTTGTTTTATTAAATAAAATATATCTTTTTTATTTTTTCAAATTTTTATGGCATTTTTTTCCCATTTTGATATCTAAGTCCTTTCTTTACCATCAAAATATTACTCAACCCAAACTGTTACTCACAAGGTCTTTCCTGTTATCTGTGATGACTACAAAATGTCTTCTAGATTGATATTTTATGTCCAGATTCATAGATATTTAGATATTAACAAATCCTTTCACTCTCATTCAAACCGCAAGTAAAAGTCATCTGATGTAATAATAAACATATTTTTTATACATCAGTCACTTACAGACTGTTCCTCACACAAAATTAGGAAAGTGAAACTCCTCAGCTAAGACTATCATCCTTTATAACAAATGCACGGGAAGATTGCTCTATTCTGGGTCCATATCAAGGTTCAAATCACATGACAGTCATGTGACAGTCATATGTCCAGTACAAAGGGTGTTGTGTTCAAACCAAACTTGCTAGTGTCATTCTACATTATTTGCTTTCTACTATCAAAACTCCATTCATTCAATACTTGCAACACACAGTGAATGTACCGTAAACCCTTTTACCCCCAGGTGACATACATTTGGGCATGGTGTTCAATACAGTGGGAACCAATGCAGAAGGAGAGATGGAAGGAGCGGGGTTAAGTAAGCAAGAAATGGAAAAACTGTTGGCAATTTGAAATATGTGGTTCAGATATTGAAAGCCACTGATTTGAAGCCAGCCCTTTCTCTCAAAAGTGTCACCTGTCACCAGCCTAAGGAGCACCACTACCTACTGTTAACAACCTACTTAAAGAGTCACAGATTACTGGCAAGCTCAAGCCACTATAGAGATAACTTTCACATCATTTCGGTTATATTTAGAGTTGATATTCAGTTTCACAGTATGCCAAACCAGGCATAAATTCCCACCAAGGCGCAATATTGGCATCATTTTACTAACAGATGCAGCACTGGATTTTATAAGCTGCAGTATCAGACTTGTGTTGCTTGCTTTACAACCTAACAGACAACAATGCCTGAATTTATGACCACAAGGTGCTATTGGCATTCAATTAAACAACCAATATTGGCATCGCAAAACCCATGCTACATTCAGTACATGCTGTATTCCCGTTCTTTATTTCCTTCTTTCTTTCTTTCTTTCTTTCTTTCTTTCTCACCACTGTCACAAGGAATTGATCTTTTCATTAGAAAACCCTTCAGGCTTCAACATAGGAATGAGCATGGATCACTTCTGAGACTAGCAAGACCTTTACACTGCTCCTATGACTCCCTTCACCTCTTGGATAATTTAAGGACAATACCAGGTTTCTGTAGCTTAGGAGCTACCGTCCACTCGGGATCGGTTGGGTCCNCAAGACCTTTACACTGCTCCTATGACTCCCTTCACCTCTTGGATAATTTAAGGACAATACCAGGTTTCTGTAGCTTAGGAGCTACTGTCCACTCGGGATCGGTTGGGTCGTCCCCAATGACAGATCCAACAGGAGATGTCTCCATTGGGCTGCTTGTGTCCGCAAGCATTGGATCCACGAGGTCTTCCCCAGGTGCGCCATCTAGTGACACATTACGTGCTCTTAGCGCGAGCCCTGACGTGCTGCTAACATGCTTTTCTAACTTCACGGCTTCGTGCTCTGCAATCATACTGTCATACTCCGATTCGGAAAGGGGGAACTGTCGCAACTGCCAAGGCATAACGACAGGGCCTTCTTCTACAGGAGAAGCAGTGGCGCTTCTGTCCTGACAATCGCTTCCAGTGCTCAAGGCCGACAGTCTTTCCTTCCTAGAGAACGAGCCACTACGACGAGGGACAATGCCTCCATCCTCACCCAACAATTTTCCTGAGAATGACGCGGGTCTGTACTCTTTCTCAGTGCTGCCACCTACACTGGTGCCTGACAAAGTCAATGGTGAGGGCGTAGCTGGGGCTACAGCAGGCGAGGAAATGTTCATGGACCCAAAGAGGCTATCGTTCATACTAGTCTCCGGAGAAATGGGATCGGGTGTTGTCGTGCCGCTCTCTGTTCTGTGTAGACTGGTCATGCTGTCGGGTCGAGACAAACTACGATTGAGACTGCTGCCTGTCCGCTTGTTTGTGGGGACGAAGGAGAGGAAGCGTTTCTTCTCTGCGACCTCACACTTCATGTGCCTGACAGCAAAGGTGTCGTCTGATAGATCTTCAATCTGGTAATAGAAATATAGAATATATTTAACACAGGAATCAGTCTTCTCTTCATAAAAATAATGGAGTGAATTTTACCAATTTCTAAATACTCATGTGGACCCATTTGCTAAGAGGATTAATTAGTAAATACCGAAATGATTGCATGATAGTTAATTATAAGAATGGGTCTTGTTTTAAAAATCGCCTAGCAATTTTATACTTTATCTATTGTGTGCACTTTTCATTCTTTTTTGGTTTCTTTTTGCTTATAAATTTGGAACTTCAATTATTTTTCCCCATGCATTAATTATTAACTTCTCAAAACTTACCTCCTCTTCTTCTCCTCCTATGGAAAAACTTGTCTTCTCTGCCTCCTCCGTCTGTTCCATCTTTCCCTGAGTGCTTTCATCATTGCTTTCCTTTGCCGTACTTGTCTCTGGCAACTGTGGAGGCTCATCGCTGGTTTTACCCTCGTCTTCCTCCTTGTTCTCTTGGGTAAGATCACGCCAGCTGCAAATGAGACATTCATTTGTTAACATCAGGTTTAGCAGGGTAACTAAACTTCTCTTCTTGCCCACAAGTTTGTGGTTTTAGTTAAAATAATACAAACTGGAATTTAACATTGATTTATTATCATTTGTTAATTTTTCTGTTGTTAGTATCTCCTTATGCAAAGGAATATTAGTGCAATAGCCCTCAATGTTATATGACACCACCACAAATCAATTGTCAACTTCACACTTCTGACAGGAAGACCATCAACAGCTACGTCATTTAACACCACTTGCCACATCTCTAGTTCTTCCCTACTTATAATGCACTTCCAGGTTGAACTTCCAGGTTGGAAAAAACTTGTTAAGCACTCGCGTGGCGAGGCCGTATGTTTACAAAACTGTACAAGTCCCCACGAACCCTTCAGTTCATGTGGCCAGGTGCACTAGTACCATAAAGGCACAGGGAATGGGTGCACTTATACCAGAAAAGCACAGGGAACAGGGGACTTTAATGAAGGAGAACCCTACCCCAGCTGCCCTATCCCTTCTCTTCAACCTACACTGATACTCCCATCAATGACTAACTTATCAATATCAAGCCCCTTTTTCAACTTACATTTCTACATAAAAGCAAGGAAACTCTCATAACTCACCTGGAAATCAGAATTTTTGTACTCAATTCTTCAAAAGTCGATCTTACAAGTTACATTCACCTTAGAGTCTCACACACATGTAAATATCAACAATGTTAAATTGCCAGTGTAACTTATTGTGTAACAGATTTTCTCACCTGGGCGTCAATATTTCTTTATACTTCAGCTTCTCCACCCTGGTGGAGGCAGCCATGCTGTAGGGTATCACAATGTTATTTATGTCGAATGCACTTTCCCCTCGCCTCTTCCGCAAAGCGTCCTTCATCTCTTTAAGCGTTGAGGACGGGCAGCTTTGAGAGATCGAAGAGCTGGTGTCCAAAGGTGTTGGGGATGGTGTGAGTGTCTTGAAACGGTTGGGTAAAGACAGGGCACGTTGCTTTTTAAGAGCTGCTGAAAAGGAAAATCAAGTCTCATCATTACCGTTTTTGCATTTCCAGATTTTATACTTCTAGAATTTAGGTAGTATAGTGCACCATAAAAATGCATTATCACCATACAAGTGTATTGTGGAATATAAAATTAGTTTATCAAAATAATCCTAAACAAATATCCTATCATGTGTTATTAAGTTTAATATCAACTTAATTTAACTATATATTTTCAGAAGGTATTTTTAAATTCTACAATGTCACACCTACAGGATAACTTTCTGTTGACTTCTTTTTTTTTTTAACAAATTAACACAGTTGAATATCAACCCTGGACATTTTTATCTGATCATTGACAGACCCAGGAGACTGACCGACATACACCTACCTATTGCCAGCGACGCAGCCTTCCTCCTCTTGATCTCCGTCCTGCACAGCCGTCCATCCTCCAGCTTGGACCGCGGCGTGGACGGCAGCGAGCCACTGCGACCTCGAGACAGTTTCTTATTGTCAACAAACTTGTGCCGCAGATCTGAAAATTAAACCACAAAGACAAATGTTACATGATAGTTTACAGAGAGGAATGAGTCCCTACTCCTGGCTATATTATATAATAGGATTCATTTATGATCTATGAAATGATGTCTCATATAAAACAATTAAAAATCGAGATTGCATTAAACAATATATTAGCTAACTGAAGACAAGGAAAATACAACAGGCAATATGAAATGGAAAAGAAAATGAAATTATAAATTTATTTGAACAGGTCTACAAATACTAAATTGGTCTTCAATTATGCAAAGAAGACGCAAACATTGATGGTTGGCATTTCTGTCATCAAGAGAAGAACCGCCTGCTGCTACTTACTAGAATGCAGTAATGCTGCGGTGGCACTCTTGGAAAGCCTCTTCCCATGTCTGCCACCCGTTTCTTTGGTCAACTTTAGCTTCCTGGGATAATGAAAATGAACAAAAGTAGTCAATAATAATAACAGGATCACATGTATCACACTAGCTGTCTAAATAACTTTTATTTTATTTTTTTCTTCCCTCAAAATGAAGTACCCAAAGCAAACCATATTCTGCTGTGTAACTGAAGTGACGAAATGCCAAAAACAACATCCCTTTAAACATACAGTAAAATAAGAACTTAACATTTTCATTAATGCCTCCCTGACATTGTTTAAACTTTAGCATTTTGTATCAGTTGTCGGCAGATGAAAAAGGATCCACATTGAAGTGAATCCAATCAACTTTGATTCTTAAGGAGTTTCAAGCCATAAATAGCTTCAAGTCTAAATGCTAACTCAAAAATTATCAATGTTTTATAAATCAGCCATTGTATTTATATCTGACAGTCTCAACTAATATGTTTAACTTATGAGCTCACCAGAGAAATCAATTTCTAATATACACTTGTACATTATCTAAATAGATGACATGCCAAAAACAACATTCCTTTAAACATACAGTAAAATGGGAACTTAACATTTTCATTAATGCCTCCCTGACATTGTTTAAACTTTAGCATTTTGTATCAGTTGTCGGCAGATGAAAAAGGATCCACATTGAAGTGAATCCAATCAACTTTGATTCTTAAGGAGTTTCAAGCCATAAATAGCTTCAAGTCTAAATGCTAACTCCAAAAATTATCAATGTTTTATAAATCAGCCATTGTATTTATATCTGACAGTCTCAACTAATATGTTTAACTTATGAGCTCACCAGAGAAATCAATTTCTAACATACACTTGTACATTATCTAAATAATCATTTTTATCATCAATCAGTTCACTGACACAGATAACCGCTTTCTGGTCTAAAGACAAAGTAATTGTTTATTTATTTATTTATTTATTTTATTTTTTTTTTTTTTGTCTTTTTTTTTCTCCTGGCCCCTACCTTTTCTCTGTGGGCACAGCCTTCAGTGTTCTGTTGGAGGGTTTGCTCTGCCAGTCCCCACTCTTCAACAGGGTATCAAAGTGCGCTGTAAGGGGCGTGTCTAGAAAAATAACGATAAAATTGTTCACATAAGAACATCATCTGGAAGTATGGTGGAAGAAACAGACATCAAAATGCTCTTCTTCTGTACATGTAAATAATGATGCAACAATGTGGTCGGTGTTATCAAACTACGAACATTATTTATATAAAGGTCAAAATATCGATAAATGATTGTGTAATTCCGATGAGTCCTGAAATGAACTTAAAACGTGCCAACAAAGTGCAATATTGTAGCAATGAAATAAAACAGTGGGTTAACCTGCATTTGAGGAAATGCCTAAGAAGTCCAAAGAATCCATTAACCATAAAAGAGAACAAAAAAATCTGCAATCTATTCAAAACTTCCTTAAAAAACTCGCAGCTGGTATAAATATTTACGTTTTGTTACACGTCATAAATCCATAAAAGCCGATATGAATATTAACTTCAGATCCTGGTGCACAATAAATCATCACAGCATCACATATTAATTTTAAACAAAACAAAGTGAAAATGTTTTATTCAATGCAACTATTGTCACGTATCAATCAGCTACAAATGGTGACAGGGTGTACGTTTTTTTCCCTGTCTTACGTAATAGGGAGGCTATTTTTTCCCTCCCTTGTGTAATAGGCAGGCTATTAAGTTGTCAATCCCTCAAAACCTACCAGTGCACCTGTATGGCTAAGATAAACTCCTTTTTTATTGGTAAAAAAAAACCCTTGCTTACAATGCAGTCAGTCTCATCTGAACAAATTACCCGAGGTCATCTAACATACTCTGAACATGTGCAGAGCAGACCTATAGACTTCACACTAGACAGGAGACAAAAACACAGCAACCTTCAGAAGCTTCTACACAGGTCCTTGCAGCCTCGATGGAACACCGATTATCGAAAGATATCACTTTCAACTGATATCTCCATTGCAGTGACCATCAGAGGTACAAATGCACTGCGAAGTGGTAAACCCAAATTAAATGCAACGTGAGAAATCATTTATCTTCAGTATACAGTGCAGGCCTTGGAAAGGCTGAACAGTATATGTTTTACCACATCTCTTTGAGCAGTGCTAGTTAATAGACCCTACACACGCTTGAACTGGGTGAAAATCAATGATCTCTCACATCAACACAGCGAGAAAAAATATCCTGTGTAGACTAACTTTGAGGGTTTTACAGGGTGGTCCATAAAAACTACTTTACTTTCCATCTCAATTTTATATATACATAATTAAGATGTTTCCAACTTTCTTTCAACTTAATTGTTCCACAAGGACGACCATTTTATCCTTGCAAATTCTGCACAGATTGGAAACCTTAAGGTAGTCAAATATCTTAATTGTATCAAAATAGAGATGGAAAGGAAAATAGGTCATTTTTTATGGACCACCCTGTATATGCTTTTAGATATGGTATATAATCTAGTGAGGTGGAGAAATGGTTTCAAGTTCTAGAACCTAATGGTCACATTATTTCTACCATATATTGTAATGTGTGTGTGTGTGTGTGTGCACGCACGTACGCACGCTTGTGCATGCATGCATGTGAAGACAAACCAGTGTGTTCATTTCTGATCTCTTCTCATTTAACTGCAGCAGAGACAAAAGAAACATTCACATCTATGATTTCATATAGACTTTGTGCATTTCAGGAAAAGAAGCATTCACACTGAAGATAGGCCAAACATTCTCTGTCAACCCAAAAGCTTTCAGGTTAAGCACAGTATACAGATAGGCAGCAATTGTGATACCTAAGCTTTCAGGAAAAAAACAATCGAATACTATGCCACATGGATAAATAAAAGGAAATATGCCTCCTTCAAAACATTTGTAAAAACAGGAAATGTCACTGAAACCCAATGTTGTTTTAAACTGATTAGAGTTTTCTTTTTTGTTGCATGGTAGAAGCATTGTTCTAGTTTAAGTCTCTTATATCAGTTGTGTAAAAACTGTAACAGTATCTTGGATTTCCACAGCATTTGTATATATATATTTTTTATTTTTTATTTTTGTCATTCAGGACCCAAATATCACATAAAAACATTTAATTGTTGAGGCATGTTCATAATTACAATCACTTTTAATTGCACCCTGCTAGTTCAATGAGATATTTAATGGATCCGAGTCTCAGCTAAAAAGCGCATTAATAACTGTGCAGAACCCTGGACTGCTGGTACCGTGCTCGCTGCCTGCTGCCATATAATGGACTCCTCAGCACAATTGCATGACACGATCAGAACTGAGAGACGGACACGCGATGGGAAATGGAAAGTATCATAAAATCAAATCAATTCTTTATCAGAATACGAACTGATAAATTAATTCTGAAAAAGATATTCAAAACAGCCATTATTTATCTAGAAGCAAGTTATTGCATTCAATTGTTCTTATCCCCCCCCCCCTCCTTACTGAAGAGGCCCTGTAAGTGTCACTGTGATTGCCGTTACTAAGACTTTCTTGTAAACATATCAGAACCTTACAGTGCACCATTTCTAAAATTATGTATTTAGGTATTCCTAGTCACCCTTGTTCGTTTCTTTTATGTACTAATGCACATTTAAAATCCTGCACTTTGTAGCTTTAAGTTATTCCACTGGGCTTAGAATTACTGTATTCGGCTATGACTTTGACAAATTTTTGACAAATAACAAGTTTAGCTTTACTATTGCATTATTGGGAGAAGAGACAATTTAATTTCTTGTTAAACTGATGAGAACATAAAATACTTTTTGAGCTATATTTGAATTTGCAAGAGTACAATTTACCAGCTTGAGTTTTGTGTCATTGAATCAACTGATTTTCTGGATCAAAGAAATCAGTATTGAAGAAATCCTCCTTGTACTCAAGACCTTTAAGTAATTGCCATTACTGCTTAGCAACGGTGCGCATAAGCACTGCTGTAAAATCAAATTTAAGCCAGTATTATATACACTTCATCTGGAATATGAAGGTTGACTAGGCGAATAACTACGATCTTCTCTGCAGATTAAGATTGAGGCAATCTAGGTTCTGGAGAGCTTTTAAAATGGCTCAACAGTTTTCCGTTAATGAAATGGTGCGTTTTCCTCAATGTGTCTCTCTGACTGATCAATGCTTTAGGTAAATAGGTTAACTCTTGGCTAACACAGTTTTGCCTGATTAGTTTTTTTATATCACCAGCTTGTGAATAAGTGCAATATTTTCCCACAAATCTCGGCCAAATAAAATTTATTTTCAATAGTCATGTAAAAGCAAAATAAGTCTGCTAAGCCTGATTTGGTATAATTTGAGCATGAATCCATCAATATATATCTTGCTGAAATGTTGCCACATCAAATACTACAGTAACCATGGCGATGGGTGATGTCATGATAATATATACACACTGAAATACTACGGGAACCATGACGATACTTTCCAGTCAGTTTTTCCCATGTAACTGAGTTATACAGGAAAGGATGACCATCTACAAGGTAATTGCAAGGTATCGACACAAGTCTCACTATTTCACGTTTTTTTTTTTTTCCTATTCCATTTCCTCGTGTTGAGCAGTAAACAGCTGTTAGAAATCACATGGATGCTGTAATTAACGATTCAATACAGGAAATGTTCAAATTCTTATATTGAAAACATGCCTTAATGTCCACACGCTATGTCCACTTCAGCATGCTGGACACAAGGATACCTGTTCTAAGCATATGAAGGTGACACTGGGGGTAGAAACAAATCATACACCATGGGTACCATACTCCCTGTTTAAAACAACTTTAATTTTAAGTAATATGAAAACAGTTTTACTATTAATAACAGCAATTAGATGTTTGGTTGCTACCCCCTCCAAACCTCACCCAGTGGCACCCACCTTTCTACTGCTTTTCAGATGACAAATGTCCCAATTTTGCCAACTTTTTAAATCTGGGGTAAAAAATTTAAGTGATACATGGGCAAGTCTCGTACTAATATGAGCAACCCCTCCTTTTTTTTTTTTTTTTCGTTGAAACTGCTTCTATTTTACTAAAATCTAGTCGTGAATAACCTGCCCTTTTATAAAACATACTCTTTGTCAACAGCATAATAGGCAATGTCAATCTTATCACCTCTATGTAACACAGTAACATTAGTAATAATGGTGTGTGGGGATTATGTCAAAACACAACCACAGATTTGTATTTTTACATGTAAGTATTTCTATTAAATAACAATATTATTTTCTACTTAAAACACATAATGCAGAAATATAAGTACAATATTATAGACTGCCTGTGTGACTGTATCTTTTACATAGCTTTATTTGTAATGAGGCTACATAGGGTTAACAGTGCAGTAGCATTGCAGTGAATTTAAGAAAAACAGGATTCTGTAAGAAAAAAAAAAAAAACCCTTGTAATTGTAGCAGGTAAAAAGAACCAAAAGAAAACAAATATCCTTCTAAGAAACGTGTATGAACAAACCACACTTAAAACTTACACATTAAAATCATGTTTCCAGTGAAAACGGATTCTGCTGACATTTTTATATTCAATAACACAATGACTTTGTAATTCCAGATAACATTTCTACATAACCATTTTTGATCAGATCCCATCAGTGGTGAATCTCAATTATGTTAACCAATGGAAACATACAACCAAATTTCAATAGAGAAAATAATTTTTTCAAATGTTGTCTTGACAGGTAAGCTGACGAATCTTGGGTCAAACTTGTCTAAAATTTTTTATCTTGTAGTCAAGACCAACTTTTAATTCAAATTCTTACAGTAAATAAATCTCCATCAATTATCCATTAACAAGTGTCGAGGTCAAAGAGTTAATACAGCATTCTCCATATGTACTCAAAGCTAGAACAACCAAAGGGTTAATCCCACATTATATTGACGTTTTCAAAATGAATAGAAAAAGGTTCATTTGTACCTAATTCAGGAGGAGAAAAAGCAATCATTCTCTTATTGAAATGGGAGTTATGCCAAAGGTAGAAAAAGTGAATCAAAAATTCTTTATTTACTTAAGAAGAGACCAGAAGTAAAAAGGAGAATCAAATACCATACTGACTTCTTTGGCTGTCGAATATTAAGTGAACAATTATTAAATCAATACCGAGATCAGAAAGGGGGCAGCTTTTATATCTTTTTTTTCTTTCATGTGAACTCTCACGGAGAGATTTCCTTGATGAAATAATAATTTCTGGAGAATTTCACCATCACATGAATGATAACTTTGTCACCCAATCAATACTGCGCCTGAATATTTTGTCACTGGTATATTTCAGTCAAAGGGGGACTTGGGAGGGGAGGGGGGGCATTGGCTTGACCTGTCATGACTTGCACTAAGCAAACATCTATGAGATCTATTTTCATTATTGAGCAGCCATTCAAATTCTACAAACATTCCAAACAGCTTTTCTTCTACCACCACCAGTGTGAACTGAGAGTTATTTATTCAGTATTGAGGTAATAGTTCAAGGTTGTTACAGAGATTTTTTCTCTCTTTCTCTCCCTTTCATGGGTAGTTTTAAATACATAGTGTCTGTAGTTTATGACATGCTTCAATAATTCCAATAAAACTTCTCACTCACATATTACTTTGTTGCTATCCTGATAGGACACAACCAATATGCCAACCATTTACAAAGAAGTCAATACCAAATATTAACAAAACTTTCAAGAAAGTCAAGGTCACTGGGTGTAATATACTGAAGGATCTTAATAGATAATCTTTCCATTAAAGAGTTCCCGTCTTAATAAGATGCCACCCAGAGTTCAAATACTGCCCTTCTATATTTCAAGGCCTCAAGCCATCTTATTTATAACTGACAACAAAGGTCCTTTGCTGTTGTCAGATTTTTGCACCAAGTTGCCCGGTGACCTAGATGTCAGGCAGTTTGACAAAATATGAAAGAAAATAAGGAACCAATTTGCATCAAATATATTTTTGGGATCATCAAAAAAAGAAACAAAACCCTTTTCATTCTTAATTTGTCTTCTTTTGATAATCTTTTCCTCAATCTTATGTCTTGATGTACTGTAAAATAAATCTGCACCAGCACACTTGTAAAAGCTTGTTTTATCTTAAGAAAAGATGGTATCTGGCACTGGCAAAACATTACAGATTAGAGAAGCTTAGACCCACCAAATAACATTTACTATAACTTATAAGAGTCTGGTGAGGAATGTTCTATACACATAAGCTTGGCCTGGTATTCTCAGCTTACAGGAATGTGAGCAGCTCGAAGTGTATTTCTTAAATGCCACAACTCAGATTATGTATCCCAGTGCTCCCTCACATTTTAACCTTAGATCTGCATTATCCGTCTTTATGTTAAGAATATGCAGATGAAAACAATGATGACAGTTTTCCAACATGTTCAAAACTGGGAATATTTTTTTCAGCAAAGCATTTGTAGATACCTTTCAACTCACGGGTTGAAATTAGTAGACCTGTTGTTATGCAAATTCTATTTGAAGAGTAAACAATCTTTCTTCAATTTGGAATTTATAAGAAGCAATTTCTTAGGCCGAACCTTTCTTATTTGTAGAAGAATTAGTCCTTATTCAGATCAGGAAAAAAAGCTATAAATTAGCTAAATAGAGCCAAACAGAAAAATATCCTCTTAGACGCGCATCAAAAGTGACTAGCGATCAATACCAGGATGTTTCAACAGAGACGCATTACCTAACGCAATGATTTGTCAAACAGACCAATGAATAAGCAAGTAAACATATGGACAAGCAAAAGATGGGAGTTTTTCTAAGATACTTACCGTGCGAGAACGACAAGACAGCATGGTATGAATGGTCAAGTAGAGCCACTCTCTCCGGCACTGGCATGGTGTACTGGTCAATGGACTGGACATTGTTGTACCGTCCACCACACAAAGAACAACTGGTCGTTGGAGGGTAACAATGACACGTCACCGTCGACAACCGCGCAGCTTTACGATTCAAGTGATGCACACCGAAGGTTCGCAGTAACTTCCTCTTTCTATAGCTTTTGACAGGGCGACAGCGTGCCGCTTGGCAAGTGGCATCGAGATTTGGCGAACCAACCGGGGAGTGGGTGGCCAGTCCCTGAGGGGTAGAGGAGTCTCCTGCCTTCACTTTTTTACCACTACTGTCAGTTTCAGTTTCTGAAGAACTGGCAGGTTGAGCGCCACAGGGTGATAGAACACCGTTAGGTTTGGCAGGACTATGTTTTCCTGAAGACACAGACGAAGATACAGAGGGTGCTGCTCCCGCTGCTGCTGTTGATGATGTTGCCGTTGCTGCAGTGGTGGCAGCAAGCGGGCTAGCCTGGATAGGAGAGTAACAGTTGCCAAGAGACTGTGTCAACTTTGACGACTGCTTGTCTATATTATTGAGCAGAGTTGATAGATTGCACGGTGACATTTCATTGCGCTTCTCAATATCTGCGATCTTGGCCTCGATAGGAGAAAGCTTTTTCCCTCCTGTCCTTGAGGGGCGATATCTAACCATGAGATCTTCGGGTTGAGGTGTCTCACCAAGGACAACCTGCCCTTTTGCGGCCCTGATCTGACGATAGATATCGTTCTGCTGGCGTATGCGGTATTCCAGGTCTGACACTTGTGCCTGCAGCCACGTCCATCTTGATGCTATCGAGGAGCGCTCTGCGGCCCACTTCCATTCTCCCCGCCTGTGTCTGCAAACAAACAACAACATTCATTTAATATTTCAATATTCATTATTAAGAAAATTCTGCTAATCTATGTTCTTTTTTCTTAAAGCTTTTCCAAAAGAAATGTGATTTAAGAAGCTAGGAAAGAAAATATTTATACAGACATTTACCATGGAAATGTGAACACATCTTCACTTCAACACTTATAAACAAAACAATTTTCTTTTTAAGAAATGATGAAAAACCCATTTCCCTTAAAAATATCTATTAAGTTATAATCTGATTGTATTGCCAAGGTTGAAATCCCTATAAATCTTTTATGTCATTACATCTAGAAATAGCACGCTACAAGGATATCACCCTTGGTTACTGCCGTTTAACCACAAAAACAAGTTGATCTTATACATGTTCATGAGATTGGATTGGTTCACTAACTGATACAAGGCTTCACATAAGAAGAATTTTTATGGTTTTGACCTTCTTGTGCTGACAATTCCTTTCGGAATCCTGAGAAATCGCCAAGGAAAAGGAAAAGAAAAGTAATTTCAAAGCTGGATAAAATACCAAGAAGCTGAATGTAGAACAGCAGCAATCTTTAACCCCTAGATCACATATGGATCATCAACCTGGCCTCCAGTATATTTTAGGCAATCCATAAGTAGAAACCTCTGAACTTCTTGCAAAATAGTTAGAAGTAATTTCTGCAGACATTTTTATTTATCAATTCTTTCTTTTTATTTTCTGCCAGTATGATTGAAAAGAAAAAAGTGTTTTGTGGTTAACTTCCATAAAACCCACAATATTACCTTTGCAAGTAAACACTTCATCTAACCGAACCCGTATGATTTTGATGCGGTTAACAGGCATGGACCTTTCACTAAAATTTCAATAAGTCCTCCTCCTCTCTCTCTCTCTCTCTCTCTCTCTCTCTCTCTCTCTCTCTCTCTAACTCGGGAGCTTCCCAAATAATATTTTTTCATGTTCATCAATTCATGCAAGTTATTCTTAGCTTCTACAAAAATGACTCATTTCCTCTGTACAGTTCAATAACTTCACTACCAAACCCTAGAAGTTAAGTAGGAAACGGCATTTCTGCTGTAAAGTCACTTACAGATGCAAATAACAACATAGCACTTGGAAAAAATTGCTACGTTTAATAACTGTATGATTGCGATTGCAAGAGTTGCTGTGTGATCCTTGAGCAGATATAGTTGTTTTGGCAGACCTACGTGAGGTTCTATTGTAGTTGTGAAGGAGAGTGGTGGGGCTATGGTTAATGTAATATGAACTTCATTTTGCATCAGCAGCACCATATATATATATATATATATATATATATATATATATATATATATATATATATATATATATATATATATATAGTTGAATTAAACAAAAACAATAATTACAATACAACCATACAATCTTCTAAACACAGTGCCAAAAGGCAACAGGGATATACACTATAATAAATTCACATCTCTTTGGGTATGAAAATTGCACGAAAAACATTTCAGAATTTTGTTCTTGGTCCCATTGCAAAATCACAGGGGACTTGTCCAGTTACTTGGTCAGCAAGCCTTCCCCTGGTCCACACACAAGGATCCAGTGCCAAAGGGCAGTTCTGTTCAATAGCAGTCTTTTTAAACCTAACAATGTGCTTCAATCACCAGGTAACGTCTCGCTGAACAAACTCCATGGCTGGCTATGCAGACTGAAGGCGCATTGACAAAACGGGAATAGGTAAATACATTGTTTACTTTTCTATTATAGCAACTCCCCCACCTTGGTCAATAACACTAGGTTGTGGGGACTGGAACGTGTACTACAGCATACCACGTACCACATACAGCCCACTTTCAGCAAATGCAGATGTACTATTACAGTACACTAAAATATATAATTTATACATCCAAGGCAAGCTAAAAACACATTCACAGCTGGGTTGACTCAGACTAATATAGACGCACTGGTGTCAGTGTGATCAGACATATGCTAATGTCTGCACATGGGGCTTTAAATGTCTCAATACTGGCTTGAAAATTCTACGTGAATAATGTAACTTTGTCAAATAATCTCAGCAGTTGAGTACCTATTTTTGTCTTTAAGTGTACTTTAAGATGACTCTGACAGCTTAAATCAATATATATATATGCAAGTCTTCACAGACTGTCTGTATGTCCTTTTTTTTCAGGAATTAAATTTATTTTCCCTTGTAAATCTTCACACAAAAACAGACAAAACATAAAACCGAGGTCATGCTGGTTTTAAGTTAGAACATGCTTATGAAACCAAGACCACATCAAAAACAACAAGACTTTTCATGTTTTGCATTCTCAGACAAATAAAATACAGTGTTATAAAATGATAAAAATATGAAATCCAAGTTATGCAAGCCTGGGCAACCTGCCAAGTTCTTCTAGTCTGAAATATTATGCAGCTGACCCTAAGTAATTCATATCATATCACCTAGCCTTAATTTCAATATTATCTAAACTGCGATATGTCATAAAATAATACATCTTTCAAGACTTTACCTCTCCTCCTGATCTTATAACTCGTATTTTCTTTCTAAAAATATGTGGTGCAGGGAGCTGGCAAATATAACAACGTCCCATTTTGGGCTCAAACTACTAATATCATCAGTATTTACTAAGTATTCACACATCTTCTCATCTAGAGGACAAATTCCAGCACCATCTGTCCTTATTTTGGCCAATTTTTTAAAAACTGTCTCTAACTCAACCATGAGATACTACAAAGACATAATGGAAAACAGCCCAAAAAATGTGGGATCATGCAATAAAAAAACAATGCGTGAGGAAGGGAGCGGGATTCTCTGGTTAGAACTACGTCAATGAGCAATGTGTTCAATTGATTTTTTTGCTGTTTTCAGGCTTGTTCTAGTAACCACTAGAAACAGATATGGTCTAAGAACGTGTATGTATTTCTTTATTCAGACTCATACACCAGAGTGAGGCAGTGAAAATGTTTAGAGATAATTAACACTGAAACATGACTAAGGTATGTACACAAATCATTATCTACAAATGATCCGATTTTCTGGTGAACAGACACAGACTTCAAGTAGTGAAAGTAACCATTCACAAATGCTATCAAGAAGATGAGGCATACTTTCACAACCTTATTTAATCTAATATCATCAATCTATAAAACAAAAATTTAATTCACAAAGCTTGGGGAAATTGAAGACACCACACATACCTATATGTTAGGTTTTGGATTGATCAGGAAGTGATGCTGGAAACAAGTGATAGAGGAGGAGGAGGGGGGGGGGGGCACATGACCTACTTAGATCATAACTACACATATTGCTGATAGCATACTGTATGTAATGATACCCTACTCTATAACCACTACCTCCAGGTTTGTGTTGAGATAAGTGCCAAGGAGCATCAGATCTCTAGCTTCCAGAGTCTTCTAGTAAATTCTGCATACCACAAAGGCTCATCATAGAATGGCAAGATATTTATATAGATAGAGATAGCGGCAAATGTTGCCCAATTTATTTTTAGTCGAGGCTGTACCTGTGACAAAATATGCAATGCTACATTAAAAGGTAATCAAACAAGCTCGTTTTCAACTCATTTTGTTGATAGTTATTTAAAAGCATATGAACATTATTTTATGCAATATGGGCCTAAAATGCATGCAGGCAGACCCATCTTAGCAAATCTCCTGGTAAAAAGCCTACAGCACTTCAGTTTAACCTTCGTTCAAGGAACAGATATAAAAGAGCCAAGATCCACCATTTTCCATATAGTTAATAGAAAAGGTCATAATTTTTTCAACAATGAGTCAACAAAAAAGTATACCAAAGGCCTCTGAGCATGCATGTTGCACAACGATAAATTATGCCAATGCACTCAAATGTGGCTACCACGTGACTTGGGTCTTTTGTGAAGTAAATTGAGATATGAATGGCAGATGAGGGTATTTGTGCCTAGATGAACTACAAACTGAACAAAAAATCAAGGGTCACTTTCGCAAAATGAACAGTGAATTTAAAAGTCGGTCGTAACGTTTAGTCCACATGATTAGTCTGGGCTAAAACACACCTCTAAAATAGTAATTTTTTGGTCTACATAGTGAGTTTACATGTTTAAAATTAAAAACTGTCAATAATTTCTCATTGAATAGCTGACAACTAATGATTCATCTGGGGACAAAGTGGACTAACACTTAAACCAGTCTTAAATTTACATAATTTTTTGTTGTAAGTTCCTAGAGTGAACTAAGCTCCACTGCATGAAGACAGTGACCTAGTTTTTGACCCCTGTATGGAAACAAGTATGGATGAGTGGGCGGGTCCCTGGCTATCGTCCAACTTGTAAACCATCACTAACATACACATAAGTACTACTCAAACCTGTTTATAACTAGGCACTCCTGATAAATGGGCCCATCTTTTAAGTCCTTTTCAACCTGCTTTCTCACAACATTCATTTTTTCAATAACAAAGTAATGGTTTCTACATTACCAAGGTCTTTCTTTCATGGGAACCCACCACATGATGACACCTGCCTGTCTGTTTCGTCCATTATTCATCAGAAAGTGTGAGAAAATTAACAAAATGCAGTTAAAACATGTGTGGCCATCTTTACTGTGTTTGCCTTTTTAATGGAATTTAATTTCACAGCATTATCCTGCATGACCCACTTAACTCTAAAGGCCAAAAAGGTGCAGAAAAATATGATCTCTGGTCTTCAACTCAAATAATATATACATAAATCCACTTATATAACTTGCTAATGTGCCACACTGGCTAGCAACAGAATAATTATCAGATAATGGATTTCAAGTACAGTGCGTTCAACATCTCGGTGAGTAAAAATGGTCACATAATCAAGTTATTCTTAATAAACAAGCTTACTTGACCAATTCAACTCTAAATACCATTTTAATTAACACCTTGAGAGCTCAGAGGATTGGATTAAAAGGTGCTACATTTTTTTTGTCAGGTGACTGGAGGTCCAGGCTCTCAGAATTTGCTTAACAAGCTG